GGAGGGAGGCCGCAGGAGGCCTCCCCAGGGCCCCATGGACGCAACGCGTCAAATTATTGCACAGCTGGCGTCGATGCGTTAATTTGTTGTGGCTCTTGTGAAACCCGGGTGGCCAGATACGACGTGAAAACACGTGGGTGCTTTTCGCCCCAGGGCGGAACAGGTGCGAAAGCAAGTGGGTCCTTTTCGCGCCAGAGCGGAACAAACGTTCTCTACAAGTCCTCGTGCAAGACATCTGCTTGGGCGACGTGGTCGCGTGAAAACAAGCGTCTCGCTTGAGTCATCCTCAGCTAAACCTCGCGCAAGACATCTGCCTGGGCATACTGGACACGTGAAGCGAAACGTCTCGCTCGAGACACCCTCAAGGAAGGGCATGTAAAAACAAGCATTTCGCCCGAGAGATCCTCTGAATTCTTCGAGCGGCTCCAGTCTTCGATAGCGGCATGGCCCCAACAAATAATTCACCGACGTCCCAACAAATATTCGGTCGATGCTCTGAACAATAATCCTACCAGCCCTCTGGGCGTCGGTGGTTGAGAGCGTTTCCTCTTCCACCCCTCCTTCTTCCCCTTCGGGAGGGGTTTACCCCTCCCCCTACCCTCTCCCCATGGACCTGGACAGGGGTTCCGCGAGGTGTCGGAGCGTCCAAAACGGCGTCGGCGAGGAAGCCAAAATCATTGGTTTTACAATGGTTTTGGCCCCATGGGGGGGCTGTAATTAGGACCCCCCCTTCCTGTGATCGATCTCACCCAAGATGGCCCAAAGATGGCCCTCAAGGCTCCCAAGGGTGCCCCAAGAGGGCCCCCAGAGGTGGCCAGGAAACCCCAAGAGGCCCCCAGGATGCCCCCTAGAGGCTCCCAAGAGACCCCCAAGAGGCCCCAAGAGACCCCCCAGAGGCACCCAAGATGCCCCAAGAGGCCTCGGCGAGAATTTCAATTCATTGATTTTACCCAGGTTTTCGCAACATGTTGGCCTCTTGGGGGGGCACTGATTAAGATGACTCCAAAAGCGCCTGGGGGAGCCCAAGATGACTTCCAAGATGGCTCCAGATATCTAAAGATGTCTCAGAATGGCTTCCTCTGTTTGCTGCCCACGTCCCTGATCGAGGCAATTCCTCTGGGCATCATTTCTGGATGGGCTGGTGGGGATTCGCGAAGCGTCAACAATAACTCAAAACTACTTCAAATACCTATAACAAAACTGCTTATCATAAAAAACGATATCATGGATACTTTTTTTTGCTGGCCACCGTCGGCCTGACCAGTGTTTTCCCCGCTGCCCTCCGCGGCGCCACGCCATGCCGTCGCAAGCGATAAGGACGGAGAGGAGAGCTCAGATGAGCTCGAAACCCATGCCGAAGAGGACCGCGCCGAGCTACCGCCTCGGCTGCCGCAGCGTCCGCACCGCGCGGCGCAGCTCCTCGGCCTCCTTCTCGACGTTGTCGCGCGGTTCGTAGGCAACCCCATGCCGCCCAGCGCCAGCTCCGTCGAGACGAACGCGCACGATCGTGTCGCCTGCGCTGAGGACGCCATCACCGCCCCCTGCGTTCTGGCCCGTCGTGATGCGCGAAAACCAATGCGGATAACCTGGCATTACCACGACAACATCTAAGCGTGGGCGCATACGACGACTACGGCAATCCCATCCAGAAAAACTGCGCCCTTGTGGCCAAGGCGCTTGGTCGGTGCGAGAGCGCAACGCAAGGACGACCGCCAGGTGTGGCACAGACACCAGGAGGACGAACAGGCGCACCAAAGGACAATGGAAGAGGCTGAGGAGGAGGAGGAGGAGGAGGAGGCCACCGACACGGACGAAGCCGACGAGGAGGAGGAGGAGGAGGAGGGCAATGGAAGGGGCCGAGGAGGAGGAGGAAGAGGAGGAGGAGGAGGAGGAGGAGGAGGAGGAGGCGACGCCGCCGCGCCAGTGTGGGCGGGACTAAATCGATTTTTGGGCGGGTTCAGGCGCCGGGGCTCGCGGACGCTCGCCGCCGCGGCAACCTCAGAAAATGCCGAGGGAGAAAAAAAACAGGAGGATGAGGAGCAGGATGAGGAGGAGGAGGCAGCGGGGGAGGAGGCGGAGGAGGAAGAGGAGGAAGAGGAGCGCACCGCCTCAAGGGAGCCCGTCCGGGGGCCAATGTCCGCTTCCCCTCATGGGGGCTATAACCAAACACTCCAGGAATCGTACGCCGCCCACACGCTAGCCGGAGAGCGCCGCACGAGCACGAGCCGACCGTCTTGCGATCGCTCTGGCGCGAGCTCGGATCATGCTCTCGACTCCGTCGGGGCCTTGGCGATCCTGTATCCGGAGTGTGTTGTAAACAGAGAGAAGGATATCATGCATCAGGAGACAAGCGTGCAGCCCCTCCATCGTTAGAGAGCTAAGACCATGTACAAAAATGCGTCGCGAGAAATCCCATTGAGGATAGCAAGGGGGAAGGGGACGGAACAGACGACACAAGAGGGAGACAACGAGGGGGCAACTAAAATAATGATCGATCCTGTCTCCCGCCTCCACGCCGCAGCCAAACCTGCACGGTCGTGTGTACATCCTGTACCTGCGTGTGGTCGGCCATCCACTGCACACAGACTTAAGGATGGCAGTGCAAACGAATGGCCCGAACTTTTGGGAGGCGAGTTTCAGATTTTAAATTACACGTTCGGCAACAAGCATGGGGGCCCCAGGGAGAAAATAACGAATCCTAGGAAGCAGGAGACTGGCAGCGCTGGGGAGGTTCAGAAGTCGAGCAAGACATGTCGTAACCTTCGCCTGGACGTCGGGGATTTCCTCTTGGCCTAGCTCTGGGTTCATGCTGACGATGCTGTTGTAATGTTGGATCATGTTGTATGTGATACTCGATTCAAACCAGTCTCGATGGCGAGGGATTGCCAGAACATCAACATCATAATGCCGTATACGATGAAAACGGGCCTGGGCGTCACCAAACTCACGACTGTTGGCCGCAGCGCGGAACATGGCAGCACGACAGCTCGGAGACAGGGCTCGGGGAGCCACCCGAATACCCAAAGAGTCAATCTGCCGCAGAAGGTTAGAAGGTACAGCATGATAAGGGCCCGCTGTGAATCGTTGCAAACAGATGTGCTCGGCGTCGTGGATACTCTTGGGGACGGGGTACACTTGGCTGACATGAGAGAGCACAGGGAAAACAAACGCATTATATGCCTGTATATTCTGCGCCATGCTCAGCCGGAGGCTCCTTACATGCGAGGTCCTCTGGAGAAACTTTCGACGAGGGCCCGCCCAAGATTTCTCCAATCCTCCAGGCCCAACATACACGCCGAAATACTTACCGCAACGTGAAACTGTCATGCTCCGCATTCGTAGGTGCAGTTTCTGGAAAGCTTTTACGATGTCCTGGGTGTCAATGTCTCTCACAAATACAACGCAACACTTCTGAAGGTTCAAGACAAGGCCAAATACGATGGCAGTCTGACAAAACCATAACAATACGACTGGCAACGAGACGTACAAATTCCCTGAACATACGCCAACGTCGTCAGCAAATGCAGAGCAACCCGGATGAACATCGATACGACGCTGGAGTCCTCGAAGGATGGGGTCGAAGCAAAACAAAAATAACAATCCAGCTAATGGACAACCTTGCTTGACTCCGCGGGTGATCCAGTAACCAGGGTGCCGTCCTCCACCGAACTGCACCTCTACGTAAATGTCCAAATACAGATTCTGTGCGGCGCGAACGATGTACGCCGGAACGCCCATCCCCCTCAGCGAGTCGATCATCCAACGGTGTGAGATCGATGGGAAAGCAGCCTTCAGGTCCAGAAGAATAACCCCAGAATCCTTCATATCTCGGTGGCAGGCCCACTCCAACAACCAAGATTCAAGCTGTACGATGTTGTCCAGCATATTGCGCCCCTTGATGAATCCGCGCTGAATGTACACAACAAAATACTGCGCCTGCTTCATGAAATGTACGGCTAAGCACGCGGACAGCACCTTGTTATCAGTGTTGGACAACGTGAGGGTCCTGGCCTGGGAGGGGGTAAGCACGCACTCAGGAGGAAGAGGAGGAGGAGGAGGAGGAGGAAGAGGAAGAGGAGCAGAAGGAGGAGGAGGAGGAGGAGCAGAAGGAGGAGGAGGAGGAGGAGGAGGAGGATAGGGGCTGAGGATTGGGAGGGAGTATGGGGGGGGGTATGGGGGTGGAAGACGGGGAGGACGACCAAGGCGGGTATCGAGGGTTTGGGACATTCGCGTTAACGGACACTCGAGCAGATAAGAGCGAACAGTCTTAAAATGATTGTTGTTGTTCGTTGTCGTCGACCCACCCGCGACCAACCCCGCGACCCACCCGCGACCCACTCGCGACCCAAGCCGCGATCTACCCGCGACCCACGCCGCGATCCACCTGCGACCCACCCCGCGACCCGCCCGCGACACACCTCGCGACCCGCCCGCGACCCACCCGCGACCCAACCTTGTCCCACCCGCGACCCACCCCGCGACCCAACCGCGACCCAGCCGCGACCCACATGCGACCCACCCGCGGCACACAAACATTGCTTTAACGAAAAACCGGCGCCTGCGGCGGGCTCGCCGTATACTTAAATATAAAACTTCTGCGCCAACGGCGGGCTTCTTCAGAGCCGCGCGCGCTGCCGACGTCCTCGCCGCCCCTCACGCTTATCCGCAATTGTTATATATATATATATGTGTACACATATGTATGTACATGAATATATGTATTCATATGTGTGAATATATATATATATGTATAAGATGTGTATATATATACATATATATATATATATAAATATATGCACGATAACACAAACACGCACACACAACCGCCAAAAACAAATCCAAAGGAAATCTCCCGTGAAGAGAAACAGTGGTGCATGAACGCAGCGATGCACGAGAAAACTACGCACAGAAACAAGATGTGGCGAAATCGAATGGGACCCCAGGCGATCCGCTGGTACGACTTCATATGATCCCTTAGAAGACGCCCAGACTCTTGTCACCCCCACTACTGTGTATAGACCAGTACTCGGAGCACTATGGAGCTCTCCAACAGGGGCGTTGCATGACCCCTCTTTGGGGATGGCTCCGACGAACGATCTTACTCATGCCCCCGACGCAGAAGCCATACTGGAACTACACTGCTTGCCACTAGTTTTGCAAATCATACGCTCACCGTCATACACCTCAGGAGGGACCTGCAATCGGCACATTGGAACGCTCACTTTGACCATATTGTTGATCATGCCTCGCAAAGTGGAAACACTCACGCTGAGGCACGTTGGCAAGCACCCTGCTCCGCCTGCCCCACCGAACGAATATCATCCTTATCGACCACTCGGAATGACAAGCCATCTTTGCTGGCTTTTTGAACCACCTGCGATGATCTGCACAAGACTGTGTGTTCCAAGTCCCACACGCCATGAAAGATGGCTGGCACACATAAGAAACCTCTGATCATTTGACTTACATGACGCATCATAAGAACATCTCAACACAGTGCTCTGCTGCTAGTCGACAGGTATGACTGGCTGTACCACGTGAGGCGAAGTAAGAACCTCACTACGACAAACGCTGCATCACCAATAATCACTTTGAACACACACGCACACCTTGTGCAAAGATCAGCCACCCGTGAAAGGAGTGTATCACCATGCAGCGGGCGCAGCACCGACCTGGATCATGTAACGAGCAGGTATGAGAGCGCTGCCAACTGCGGAAACGTGCCTCATGCGCACAGCAGAAACAAAAACAGTGATGGCCGCAATCATTGCCTCTTTGCTGGGGATCCCGTTGTGCTCCAGCCTCAGCCACAAAGCGCAGCTGGCCTCGCGGACATGAAGGAGCGACGTCCGATCGGAACTGCTGGCAGGAAGCAGGGGCACACCTGACGAGGAAAATGGTGGGCGGGGGGGCGGAGGGGAACCCGATAAGGAAGAGGTGCCGAGGGGGAGAAAGACCTCTTAGACATTTTGGGGGGCACCGCGCTCGAGCGCACAGTGGGAGACAAGAGTGGGGGCAGGTGCTGCGTAAAGCAGCCTCGCCCCGCCCCGACCTAACGTCATCGATTCGCGTCGTCGTCGTCGTCGCGGGCATCGTCGCCTCGCGTTGACGTTGTCGCCGACGTCGACGCGCAAAAGGGGATATGGTGGGCACATACCATGCCACATGTTGCAATCACGCATCTCGGAGCACGTCTGTCGTCGGGCACTGAGCCTCCTGAGATGCCCGAGAGTTTCGTGGGCCCGGCGGGCCTCTGGGGAGAGACCGGTGTGGGAGTTCCCTGGAAACCATCCGGGACACCCCCGTGAAAAACAAAACCAACAAACAACCCAATGGAGGAGGTTTCGTTGGGTTTCCTCCCCGGATTCCCAGGGGGGGTAGCTTGAGGGTTTTTTTGGGGGTAGAGGCCCACAATTACGAACAACATCCTTTCGTACCCTCACCCAACCTCCCCCCCTAAGAAACCAGAACACCCCCCCCAAAAAAAAACACCCGGGTGTTTTAGCCAGAAACCTACAAAACCTAAGAAACCTAAAAAAAAACCTAAGAAACCAGAACACCCGGGGATTCCCGGGAGCGACCGGGCAAAACCCTACAAATCGCAATTTGGGATAACCCCCCTGGGATCCCCCATTGGGTAATGTTTTGAATGTGTGTTCCCAATGTTGTTCGGAAAATTGTTCGGTGGTTTTCCGCTGATTTCTCCGTGGGGGCCACCCCAAAAATGAAACCAAACAAACAACAACAAAGTTGTCGCCAGGTATTTTTCCGAAGGGTTACAGGGGGGCAACGATCAAAAAAAATACTATGTCTGACCTCCCTGACCCCCCCCCCAAAAAAAAAAAAAAACCTCTGGACAAAAACAACTCTGTTTTTGTTGTCGGAATTTCGGCAACAACAACAAGAGTTGGGTTTTCCGGCCGCCCCAGGCTCCAAGAAAGAGAACCCTTGACATACAAAACCCAACTCGGGTGGTTTTCATTGGACCTCTGGTGGGTTCGGGGCCCCAATTGAAAAACAAATCTATGTTTTACAAAAACCCCCCGAACACTTCCGACCCCCCCCCCACGTCGGAGGTTGTTCTCAATGCGTTTTCGTTTTTTCTGGCCAATCCAGGTTCCAGGGGGGAAAACCTCAGAAACAAAAAACCTAATTTGGGTTGTGTTTGAAATTTTGTCGGGGGGGCCTGAGACCCCACAGTAAAACGGTCGCCACCCGGCCCGACCGCCGCACTGGCCAATGCCACAAAGCCCCGCGCGCAGCGTTCCACCAACTAGGCGACCGCGCGCCGTCGGGAACAAACGCTTCAGGTTTCGGTGGGACCGCTCGAAACAAAAAAATAAGTTTTCTTTAAGGTCCCCCCCCCGTGGCCCCAACCAAGGGGGGGCGGCTGGGCCCTCATTCGGTTCGAACCAGGGGGGGTCCCGTCTCCCACGTACCCCGTTTTGGTTCGAACACAGGGTGGAAAAGTGGGGGGGGCTTCCCCCCCACCCCCCCGTCGACACGCCCCTGCATCCCCTTTTCGAACTAATCGGGGAAAAGGCTTGCCAATAACCGCGTGTTGGGGGGGGCGCGGTCCCTGTCAAACGATAGCATGCGGGCCACTCGTCCGCGCTGGCCGCGTGCGCATGTCGAAATCCCCCCAAAACCTTCATCACTGACACGCGGGCACCATCATAGCCATCGGCGTGATCGGCATCGGCGCCGTCATTGGCTTTGCCGCCGTTGTTGTCTGCAGTTGTCTGCGTCGCCATGATGCCGCGCCCGCCCGAATCACCGGCTCGCACTGGAAGTTCCCGCGCGTCACCGCGGCCTGCGAGACGCGCCGGGGAGTCTAGCGGTCAGCGCCACCGCGGCCGCGTCGGTCGCGCTAGGCCAGCTGGCCGCTCTGCACGCAAGCATGCGCGCGCTAGCGCGGCCGCAACGATGCGCCATCCAGCGCCAAGCCGTCATCGCAATCGCAGCCGCCTGCGTCTTGAAAACCAACTTGCGGGTGGGTGGGTGCGATCATTGCGCGAGCACTGGAGTTGGCAACTGCAAGTTCAGCAGGGAGAGAACACCACATAAACTGCACAACCTAGATTGCGAAACGCACACGGTGATTCATATATGTATATATGATTCATAAACTAGAACCACGCGCGTTTCGCGCGCGGTTGGGGTCTAGCGCAGTCCAAGCCACCACGCGAGATCGGATGAAGATGGACATCATTCCGCAAGGGTCACCATATGGGAGCGCACTTCCTGGTCAATGCTTCTGGAGGCGCTGAATAAATTTGATAGGGGACTTGAGGCCCAACCGGCAGCTTCGCCTGAGGCGAAGCCCATATCCAACTGGGCGACCTGGACACGTGAAAACAAGCCTCTGGTTCGAGACATCCTCAACAAATCCTCATGCTAGACATCTGTCTGGGCCACCTGGAGGCGTGAAACCAAGCGTCTCGCTCGAGACATCCTCAAGACCTGGGCACGTGAAAACAAGCAATCCACTTGAGAGATCCTCAGAATTCAAGTCCCCAGGAGAGGACAATCTGTAACACAAAACAAGCGTTTCGCTCGAGACATCCTCAACAAATTCTGAAAAACAAGCGTTTCGCTCGAGACATCCTCAAAATCTTAATTCGCCGGCCCTAAGCGACCTCGTTATTTATCGCAGAATAATTTCGCCGGCCCAAGTCGCAGGGGGGCCGGGGGGTTAACCTACTAAAAAAAAACCCTGGGCCCGCGCCCTTTCCGGGAAAAAAAATTTAGAATGGCCTTTTTTCGGCGCCGCCTCGGAACTCGATTTTCCGGCGCCGGCCGGAACCGGCTCCGGACCCGGCCCGGGCGCCGGCCCGGGCGCCGGCTCGGGCGTGCAGCCCGGGCGCCGGCGGAAATGATGCCAGCGCTGCAGCGGGAGCACGATTCGGAACGAGCGGGGCCCGAAAATGAGGCCGGCGCCTCAGCGAGAGCAGCATTTTGGGAAAAAATGCAGGCGAAAACCCAACTCCGGGGAAACATGTGTAACATGATCGACCCACGAACCCGGAAAGGAATGTAGAACTGTAACACATGGCAGTGTTTTCAAAGACACCTGATTGGGTGACGGGCAAATGCAATACTGAAGGTATCGATCTTGATGTACCCTGCCGAGGGCTGTGCTGTGCTGCGCCGTGCTGAATTGCGATGTGCCATGGCGCGACTGTGCTCTATAGCTCGTGAATCAAGTCCTCCTTTGCATCCGAGTCCTGACCGAACTGATCTGGATCTTAAGCTCGAGCTGCCTGAACACATAGTAGCTGCCCCAGAGCTAATGGACAGGGGAACATGCCAGGAGGACGCGCCGCGAAACGTCCCAAGGGATGCGCCAGGCGACGTGCCAGGGGACGTGCCATGGGGTCGCACCGCGGGACGTGCCAAGGGGACGCGCTACGGAACGTGCCAATGGATGTGCCACGGGATGTGCCAGGGGACGCGCCACGAGACGTGCCAGGGGGACTCGCCAAAGGACGCCCCACGGAACGTGCCAAGGAACGTGCCAAGTTGCAATGCTGAGTGTATCGACCTTGATGTACCGTGCCGAAATCAGTGCTGTGCTGCGCCGTGCTGAATTGCGATGTGCCATGGCGCGATTGTGCTCTATAGCCTCGTGGATCGAGTCCTCCTTTGCATCCGAGTCCTGACCGAACTGATCTGGATCTTAAGCTCGAGCTGCCTGAACACATAGTAGCTGCCCCAGAGCTAATGGACAGGGGAACATGCCAGGAGGACGCGACGCAGAACGTCTCAAGGGACGCGCCAAGCGACGTGCCAAGGGACGTGCCATGGGGACGCAAGCGGGACGCCAAGGGGACGCGCTACGGAACGTGCTGGGGACAAGCGTTTCGCTCGAGACATCCTGTCAAAATCATCTGAATTCCTACGCGCGGGACGCTGCACGCGCGAGACATCCTCGGAATTCCTGCGAGCGGGACGTGAAAACAAGCATTTCGCCTGAGACATCCTTTGAATTCTGGCCCCCCACGAGGCCACCGCTCGAGACATCCTCCAATTTTGCAAAACCAGCGTTTCGCTCGAGACATCCTCAACAAATTATGAAAAACAAGCGTTTCGCTCGAGACATCCTGTCAAAATCCCAAGAAATCCAAATACCCGCGCGCGGGACGCGGCACGCGCGAGACATCCTTGGAATTCCTGCGCGAGGGGCGCTTTTCCGTGTCGCGGTCGGCTCTGCAAAACCAGCGTGTCGCTCGAGACATCCTCAACAAATTCTGAAACCAAGCGTTTCGCTCGAGACATCCCCAACTCTGCAAAACCAGCGTCTCGCTCGAGACATCCTCAACAAATTCTGAAAAACAAGCGTTTCGCTCGAGACATCCTCAAATTTTAATTCGCCGGCTCTACTCCCGCACGTAATTTATCGCAGAATAATTTCGCCGGCCCAAGTCGCAGCGGGGCCGTGGGGTTAACCTACTAAAAGAGAACCCTGGGCCCGCGCCCTTTCCGGGAAAAAAACAGTACGCGGGGGGGGGGCGACTATTCCCAAGACGTCATCAGGGGAAGAGGGAGAGTAGTATTCAGATTGAGTAATTGTAGAGAGGGGTTGGGGGAACAGGAGAGTGGGTGGGGGGGACAGGAGAGAGGAGGGGAGAGGGGGGGGACAGAGAGGGACGGGGTTTGGGGGACAGGAGAGAGGGGGGGGGGATCAAGAGAGAAGGGGGGGACAGGAGCGAGGGGGGGGGGTGGCAGGAGGGAGGGGGAGGGGGGAGGGCGGGAGGGTGGACAGGAGAGAGGGGAGAAGGGGGGACAGCAGAGAGGGGGGGGGAAAGGAGAGAGGGGGGGGTGGGGGGGGGACAGGAAAGAGGGGGGAAGGGACAGGAGAGAGGAGGGGGGGGGAGGGGACGGGATCATCACCATCTCCATCACCATCACCATCACCATCGTCACATCACCACCATAATCATCATCATCATCATCATCATCATCATCATCATCATCATCATCATCATCATCATCAGCAGCAGCAGCAGCAGCATCATCATCATCATCATCATCATCATCATCATCATCATCATCATCATCATCCGGAGCGCCCCGAATCGGCGGCACTGGCCAGAGGCCACTACAATATGTACATATATGTATAGATATATGTTGTATAAATATGTATATAGATGTACATAAATGTGTGCTTGTAGATCTGAATTCATGAATACATCTATAGGTGTGTGTGTGAGTCTCTTTGGCGTTCTCGTTTTCCGTCGCTGCGTCTCTCAGTCTTCTGTCCCTCGTTATATCTTTCGAAATGTACACTTATCTATACATATATATATATATATGTGTATGCATTGACCTACACATCGCTTTGTATAGATGTATGTAGGCATGTAGTTACATTCGTGTATGTGTATATTGATAAAACCTGTAGACATGCACATGTAGCTTCAACATGGATGCGTGGATACGCACATGCATACATGTAAATGTGTGTGTGCATGCACAAGGTCACACAGTCTAGCTCCGTATTTTGCGGGTACACATACGAGCATGCACGCACGCACACACCGATACACGTGTATATATATATATATATATATACAGATGTATGTATATACGTGTGGGTATGCATCTGGCAAACACTACATCGGCATGTAGGTCAAGCCCTTTGCTTCATTGTATCAGTGGCTCTCCACATATATCGCGTGCTCTCTCTATGGCTATATATATATACATATATATATATACACGTGTACTGGAACCACGCGCGCGCTTCGCGCGCGCTTAGGTTCTAGTCGACCCCATCCCTTGAGGAGATCCCGTATCCACTGAAGTGATTACCCATTGATGGTGTAAGCATGAGGTACAAGAAGCATCCATAATGCTGGCCGAACAGAGCCCCAGCACCGACAATGACACATGCTCCTTAATCCGCCGACCCTGTCGGCGTGTGTGAGGCGCCCTTCCGTTTGTCGTCGTCGGTGTCGTCGTCGCCGTCGCCGTCGTCGTTGTCGTCGTCGTCGCCCTCGCCATCTTCCCCCTTTCCCCAGGCCCTCTTCCTCAACCGATCCAGCCAAGAAGAAATCGAATCGAACAACGAAGGGAAGCACCTTCCCTTGATCCCTTCCCCAGCGGGGGGGGGGGTCCCGGGGCAACTCCCGGGGGGTGGTCCCGGCGGGTGGTCTCGGGGGGTGGTCCTGGGGGGTGGTCCCGGGGGGTGCCCTGGGGCCCGTGGGGCTCCTGCTATTGTTTTGTCGATCCCGAATATGTGGCGGAGGGTGGGGGGCCCCCCCCAAGAACCGGGGGGAGAGAGCCTCTCCTCACTTACCCCCAGAGTCCCCGCTTTGCCCCCCCTTCCAAGCGTCCCATGCTCCCCTTGTTCACAGGAGGGAGCCCCCCCCCCCCCCACGGGCCAGTCCCCCCCTCCACAGGGGGGAGCGACCCCCCTTGGTCGTCGTCGTCGTCGTCGTCGCCGCCGTCGTCGTTCAGGGTCGGCGGCACTGGCAGTAAGGCCTCTCCAGTATTCAATTCGAAGCTATGCAAGCCAGTTTAGCCAAACACATGCAACGCTATGAATGCAATGCAAAGCAAAGGAAAGCGATGCTCATAAGTGCAATGTGGATCACGAAACAATGAAATTGCACATGCAACGAAAAGCAGCCCAGTGGAATGCAATGGAATACAATGCCCAGTGGAAAAGTACCGATCATGCGGATGGAAGCGAGACCTACGGCCCCAGATGAAGGCGGGGTTCACACGGCGCCCCCCCGTCAATTTCGGCACGGTACTCACACGGATCTTGTCCCCCTGGGAGCTCCTCTTTCGGGTCCAGGGACAAAGTTCGCAGGGCGTCGCTCCGCCCATCTCGGCACACACAACACACGAATCGTGCGCCAGAGGGATGTCGTTTCACGTACGGCCTTAGTGTGAGGATTCGCATAACGTCACGTCCCCCCCGACGCGTATGTCGACTGTCTCCCCACATGAATCGTATCAACAGGGAGCTCCACCGACGGTTCCAGAGCCAACGTTCGCATCCAGCCGCCCCGCCCATAGCAGTGAATACACCCCTGATCTGGATCGTCAGTTCGGGGCGTCTTGGGTGCTTCTGTGGGCCACGCGGCATGTTTCTGTGAGGCCTCTGAAGCCCTGAGATGGATCGTGAATCGGGAGCCTCTTGAAGCCTTTTCTGGGAGCCTCGTGCAGGACGTCGAAGCGAGCCCTCCCATACGCTTACGGGTGACTACTGGGAAGCCTCCTGGGACCGTTTTGGGAGCGTTTTGGGAGTCTCAGGGGGCCTCTTGTGACCTTCTTGGAAGTCCTTTTGGGACTCTTTGGGGCTCTTTGGGGTCCTCTTGGCCCGTCCCGGGGCCCTCTTGGACCGTCTTGGGCGCTTGGGCCGTCTTGGGGCCCTCTTGGGGCCCTCTTGGGGCCCTCTTGGGCCGTCGAGGGTGCCTTCTGTGGCCCTCTTGGGTCTCCCTGGGGACTCTTTTGGAAACCTCTGGGGACCGTCGTGGGCCGTCGGGGGGCTCTCATGGGCCGTGTTGGAGCTCTCTTGGGCCGTCTTGGGGCCCTCTTGGGGCCCTCTTGGGGCCCTCTTGGGCCGTCGAGGGTGCCTTCTGTGGCCCTCTTGGGTCTCCCTGGGGACTCTTTTGGAAACCTCTGGGGACCGTCGTGGGCCGTCGGGGGGCTCTCATGGGCCGTGTTGGAGCTCTCTTGGGCCGTCTTGGGGCCCTCTTGGGGGCCTCTTGGGTCGTCTTACGGCCGTCTTGGGGGCCTTTGGGTCCGTCTTGGGCGCTGTTAGGACCGAAGAAGCGAATATGCTAAAAACGTACGTTTTCCGACAGGAATTTAGCTGTTTTTGCCTTTTGGTGACCTTCTGGGAGGCCTCTTGGGCCGTCTTGAGGGCCTCTGAGGCCAAAAATATAGATTTCCCGCTAGTTTGTGACAGATTCGAATTTCTCGAGCACCTTTTCGGAAGCCTCTCAAGCACCCTTGGGGACCTCCTGGGCCGTCTTAAAGCGCTCTTGGGGTCCTCTTGGTGCGTCTTGGAGAGCTCTTGGGCCATCTGTAAACAATATTGGGCGGATTTAGGGCTGCTCTGAGCCTCGGGGGCGGGTCCAGGAGGGCTCCTGGGAGGGGGGCACCACCTATGTACAAGGGGGGGGGGCCCTGCGGGTCCCCGGGGTCGGAATCCCCCATATATGTATACTCCTCTATCGTTCCTCGGTCCATATATCTGATTTACATATGCGTCAAATGTTCCAATGCATGCATAGGCGCTGTATGTAATAGATGCGTCGGCACCCCTCTCTCGCGCGAAATCTTAGCATCGCTAGCTGGTGCTTCCACAACTCACATCCTGAAGGTGCCAAGGGACGCAACACCATGATGTAATGAACCGTATCCAAATCGGCCTCCATAGCGCTGGAATCAATCCGAAGCCGCAACCAGTTCCTGCTGCAACTAGCCGAATGCCGCACGGGATGCAAACGCAAGAGACATGCAAGTAACACGATCGTGTTACAATATACATCACATTAAACGCTCTCGCTGTCCCTCTCCACTTAGCCAATCGTCTTGCGGGCTGCCTTGTCGTTCAACCTATATGGGTACTTCTCCCCTCGGTGGACCTGCTCTCCGACCGTCGAGATGGGGACCGAACAGCGAAGAGCAGGATGATGAACAGTCAGGGCAAAGTGGAAGAAATGAACGCGAGAGTAGACCAGCCCGTTTCCCACCAGGTGACCCCAACCGAATAATGCTCGTACGCCTCTCCCCGACCGAAAGCACATACGAAAAGAAATACTGATATCATAAAACCTTGGAGCACGTTTGTCGTCGAATGCTCAGCTTCCCAGAGTACCCCTAGGGCTTCTGTAGGCCCCAGGGACCATCGGGGCCCGCTGTAGTCGACGACAACGACGATGACGACGATGACTGACGACGACGCGCCGACGACGACGACGCGCTGCAAGCGTGGCTCACATGCTGACAGGCCGGTTTCTAATTTGATGTGCCTACTGTGTAAAGAGAGGGCTACGCCCTGCGGTGCACCACAGGGCTGGGCCAAACTCGCCGGGCTGGTGTTTTCCAAAGCTGGGCCTGCCTGGAAGTTCCGCGCCCTTCTCCCGATCTGCAGAGATGGGACGCTGACCTCACGGTGTCCTGGGGATTGCCGCGCCTCCTTATCTTGTCCTCCTACGCCTCCTACTCCTCCTCCTCCTCCTCCTCCTCCTCATCATCATCATCATCATCACCATCATCATCGTCGTCATTCTCCTCCTTATGACACCCTCCTCGTCGTGGTCATCCTGACCACCTGGCATGATCTCCATCGTCAGCATCGCCATCATAGCACAATCAGCATAACCATAATCCTCTTCAGCATGATCATAACCACCATGATCGTCATCATCCAAATCAACAGCATCATCATCGGCATCGCCATCATCAACATCATCATGAGCATACCCATCGGTCGTAAGAAGTCGGTAGAACCATGAAGGAGGAAAGCGTTGGAAATATATTGGGTGTCCGCCCGCCCCCTATGGAAGACGGAAAAGGTGAAGCCACCCGATCATGCGCTTAAGTAGATTGAAATCTGGGGATTGAAAAATACCTACTTTCAACGACCGAGGGGTACTCATCATCATACTCATCATCGTCACCACCATTATCTTCATCCTCATCCTCAGCCTCCTACTCCTCCTCATCATCATCACCATCGTCATCGTCATCGTCATCAGCATCATCATCTCCATCATCATCAGCATCGTCATCGTCATCAGCGTCATCATCATCATCATCATCATCATCATCATCATCATCATCATCATCATCATCATCATCAGCAGCAGCAGCATCATCAACGTCGTCGCCACCGTCGCCATCCTCATCCACGGCATCATCCTCATCGACATCCTTGTCATCAGCATCAGCATCATCATCAGCATCATCAGCATCATCAGCATCAGCATCAGCAACAGCATCATCAGCAGCATCGGCATCAGCAGCATCATCATAATCAGCGTCGGCATTATCACAAGCATCGTCGTTGCCATCGTCGTCACCCCTATCATTATCAGCAACATCATCCTCATCATCCTCATCCTCATCCTCATCAGTATCATCATCAGTATCATCATCATCATCATCATCATCATCATCATCATCATCAACACCAACAACATGAGCATCCTCATCGTCGCCGCGCATGTTGGCATCGTAATCCGTGTCGTCATCATCATCATCATCATCATCATCATCATCATCATCACTATCATCATCATCATCATCATCATCATCATCATCATCATCATCATCAACATCCGCAGCATAATCATCGTCATCCCCATGATCATCGTCGCCATCGATATCCCTGGCCATCCTCCTCCATCGCTCCCTCCGATCGCCCTCCTCAGAGTCAATCTTCTCAGATTCGATCATCCTCCTCCTCAGGAGCAACAGTGCAAACGAATGGGCAGCACTGGCAGCAAGCGAGGTTACGAGAAGCATGTGCAAATCACGGCTTATGTAAGCGTGGTGCAGGAACGAAAGCGGAAATACGAGCGGAAGCGGAAGCAGGCGCAGAAAGGAAACACGCGTGATTGATGATACGTGTGCACCTTCATTTGTCTCGTCGTGCCTGCGAAAGGCCCTCAAACCGCTGCTGCCGCGCGAATTCCCGTGTCAGCAATGAAGCGCGCGTCACCCTCGCCATTGAAACTTGCTGTATTCACTCGCGCGTCGCCCTGTACAATTCCCCCTGGCACCCCAATCACTCACAAGCCCTATCCTCATGCTCGGCCCGGTGTGGGTCCTCTCCAGACGGACCTGTCTGAGAAGCGTGAGGACGCTCTCCCCGGAGACCTGTTGACAAACTGCGCGCTTCCTAATATCACCCGAGGACATAAGCGCGAACGCCGCGAGCGTTACCAGTTCTGGAACGCTTTGGGGGTCAATGCTAGCAGAGTGAAAGGGTAAGTTTTGAAGAACCGATCACGCCATGTTGACAAGACAACTGCCAATGGTGAGGCCGCACTTCCGAATCACAGTCGTTCAAGCGGGCTGCTCGTAGCTCCACTCAGAAAAAACAAATGGATGGACATATCTGTGCCCATGAAAAGGCACCTCCCATTACCTCAACATACAGCATTTGAAAAACATGGTCACTGCACGCCCCGATGCAAAGAGGACAGGCCAATGGCAGTATGTGGGGTCGGAACGCCCTTCTCTGAAAAGTATCGTGGTACCCCGCAGTTGCGGATAAGAGCGTGGGGGCGGCAGGGACGTCGGCAGTCTGCGAGGCTCTGAAGAAGCCCACCGCAGGCGCCGAATTGCTACAAATTATACAAAGAGCCCGCCGCAGGCGCCGATTTGTTCGATAAAGCAATGTGGGTGCGTCGCGGGGTGGGTCGCGGGTGGGCCGCGGACGGGTCGAGGGGTGGGTGGCGGGTGGGTCGCGGGGTGTCGCGGGTGAGTCGCGGGCGGGTCGCAGGCGGTGACGTGAGGGGACGACGACGACACCAACGACAACCAACACCAACAACAACACTAACAACAACCACCACCAACAACCAACAACCAGCAACCAACGACAACAAAAACCACAACAACAACAACACCACCAACAACAACAGCAACACCACCAACAACAACAACAACAACAACAACAACAATAAGTTTACCCTCATGCGCGATGTTTCCACACGAAACATGCGACCATCATGAAAACCATCCCCATCGTGGGAGACTATTCTTCTATAGCGCTTTCCGTTATACCCATTCCCAGATCTCCCGCCCAAAGGGGTCTTGCAGACACCTCCTCCGAAGAATTTCAACATATCCCGCCTCGAAAGCGCATGCCCGCGCCTTGCTGCACCGCTGCGACACCGCTGGTGGAACCCCAGCCAGGGGTAAAACACAAGGAAGTATCGAGCGACAGGATTGTCTTGCTGGGGATGGGGGCTGCAGGCGGCGAAGCAAGGACCTGGCCCTGAATAGAAAGGGAGGAAGTCTCGAGCAGGGCCGCTCTTGTTGCTGGGAGCGGCGCCGATGCTGAAGAGACTAGGGCCCTAACCCACCGCACAACAAAACGAAATATCGAGCGGGAGCGCTGGTTTTGTTGGGACGGCGGGTGTCGGCGGCGAGGAGGAACACCGCCTTGAGTAAAAAGGAAGGAGGTCTCGAGCGGGAGTCGTGGTTCTGCCGGGACGGGGGCTGTCGGTGGCGAGGGACAGCACCACCCTGAGGAAAAAGGAAGGAAACCTCGAGCGGGAGCGTTGTTCTTGCTGGGAGCGGCACCAATTCAACAGACTCGGGCGCCAGTCCAGCGTAAAACGGGAGGAAGTCTCGGGCGGGAGCGCTGGTTTATCGGGGCGGCTGTTTTCGGCGGTGATGGGGAGCACTGCCTTGAGTACATTACCCTGGCGAAGGACCCAGCCATATGCAGCTGTGAGAACCGCAATTGTGAATATCTTCTTCGGTGGCGATCCCTATGGGGCAACGAACCGTGCGAGGGGTGTGCCGACATGTGTGGCGGGGCGCACAACGCGAACGGAAACGAGAGGCCTGAGCACGGGGGGTCGAGCGCGGGCGAGACTGAACGCGAGCGCGTCTGATTGTGATTGAGTTTGCGTGCGAGTAAGTCTACGCGCATGAATGCGAGCATGGATACGCCTAGTGTAAATGTATAAGGCTGTGGATACTGGGCGTGGCGGGGGCCCAACGGGCCACGAAGCGTGTGAGGGGCGTACTGGGTGTGGCCGACGCCTGCGGGCACCCCAACTGGGGCCCCAAATGGAACCCTCTATGAGGCCACGAAACGCTGTACTGAGTGTGGCGGACGCATGCGGACAACCCCACTAGGGCTTGGGGTGGAGCTCCCTATAAGGCCACGGAGCGCTGTGCTGGGCGTGGCGGACGCATGTGGCCACCCCAATGGGGCCTTAGATGGAGCTCCCTATGGGGCGACGAAGCGCTGTACTAACTGTGGCGAACGCATGTGGCCACCCCCGCTGGGGCCTTGGGTGGAATCCCTATGGGGCCACGAGACGCTGTACTGGGTGTGGCGGACGCATGTGGTCACCCCCAATGGGTTTTCGGTGGAATTCCCCATAGGACCACGAAGCGCTGTACTGGGTGTGGCGGACGCATGTGGCCACCCACACTGGGGCCTCAGGTGGAGCTCCTTAGACAGCCACGGAACGTGTGAAAGGTCTGCCGACGTGGGTGTGGCGGACGCATGTGGACACCCCCACTGGGGCCTTAGGTAGAAATCCCCATGGGGCCACGAAGCGCTGTACTGGGTGTGGCGGGCGCACGTGGCCACCCCAACTGGGGCCTTGGGTGGAGCTCCCCATGGAGCCACGAAGCGCTGTACATAGTGTGGCGATAGCACGTGGCCATCCCCAGTGGTGCATTAGGTGGAACTCCCCATGGGGCCACGAAGCGCTGTACTGGGTGTGGCGGACGTATGTGGCCACCCCCACTAGGGCCTGGGGTGGAACTCCCTATGGGGCCACAAAGCGGTGTACTAAGTGTGGCGGGCGCATGTGGCCGCCCCCACTGGGGCTTTAGGTGGAGGTCCCCATGGGGCCACGAAGCGCTGTATTGAGTGTGGCGATAGCATGTGGCCACCCCCACTGGAGCCTTGGGTGGAGCTCTCTATGGGGCCACGATAGCCGTGCCCCCTCTCGCGGATGGCGTGCCGGCGCCCCCCCGCACTGCCGGCCGTCCCTTCCTCGGCGGGGCGGTGGGTGATACCGCAGAGGTTCCCTCCCCACCAAGCCGCAGCGTACTGGGTTCGGTCAGGCCCCCCCCCGACGCCCTTCCCGACGCCCTTCCCGACGCCCTTCCCGACGCCTTTCCCGACGCCCACGGCCGACCCCGCCGACGCCCTTCCCGATGCCCTTACGCCCACGACCTCCCCCCGACGCCTTTCCCGACGCCCACACCGACCCTCCTGCCGCCGTAATGTCCGTAGGTTCGTCGCGGGTGGCCTTTCCCTCCTGGCCCCTGGCCCGGCCCTGCTGCTGCTGCTGCTGCTGCTGCTGTTGTTGCTGCTCCTGCTCCTCCTCCTCCTCCTCCTCCTCCTCCTCCTCCTCCGCCTCCTCCTCCTCCTCCTCCTCCTCCTCCTCCTCCTCCTCCTCCTCCTCCTCCTCCTCTCCTCCTCCTCCTCCTCCTCCTCCTCCTCCTCCTCCTCCTCCTCCTCCTCCTCCTCCTCCTCCTCCTCCTCCTCCTCCTCCTCTTCCTCCCCCGTGGTTTCCCTCCGCTTCTGCTCGTTGCTTCCCTCCCTTTCCTTTCCTCCTGCTCCCTGCCTGCTGTTTCCGCCTGGCCCGTCTTCTGCCTGCCCGCCCGCCCGCCCCGCCGGCCCTGGCCTCCCGCGTGGGCGTTCGTCGTCGTCTGCCTGCTTCTCCCCTCCTCGTCCCCTTCCGCCGGACCGCGCAACCTGCCCGGAATTAGCGTTGCGGCCGAGATCGACCCTCTGAAGTCCAACCTGGTGCCGAGCACGAGCCGTGTGTCAACGGTGCCTGAAGAGCCCCTGGGCCCTCGAGAGGCCGCGTTGGGCTGATATTGCCTGTGATGCAGTTGGGGACTGAGTGCCAGTGTATCAGACATCTTCGGTGCTTGCCGACACGCAGCGGTCTGCCCAAAATAATGCAAATCTTCCCACACTTCGTGGGATCACACCTTCCCGTCACACGGATGACCTGTGACCGAAAGAGATCCTAAGCGGGCAACGTATTATCCCACCCCACCCCCTACCCTTCAATACGACTGTTGTCATCCGCGATCGACCGGTCGAAAATCCCGACCAAGTGATCGACTTGACTTGACGTGAAGCGGTGTCTGCGACGGTGACCCTTCTACTGCTGGTCTCACAAGCAACGACTGAGGAAAGGACAAACAGGAAAATCGCAGCAACGCGTGCTAGAACTCACCAACTGTCAGACTGTGTTCCTGCACATCCTACGGAGCAAAAGAAAGCCGAGGTTGCCGTTGCACACAATATCAAGAGCACCACAAAGTAAACCGAGACGCATGTCGGCGCACATCGACGATTCGCAAAAAGCCGATCCCTCCTTCCCCTCGGGGACAGGCCTGTCCCCCCATATCCGAGAGGTGAAGTTCTCTGGCGTAGCCCCTGCTGACCCAGGGCGCCAAGCATGAGATAGCCTGCGAAGCAGGGCGGGCGGAAAATCGAGGCACGAAGATCGCGGATCGAGGCTTGCGAGCGTTTCTGGTATAATTCTAGACCTCCAGAAGCGTCCCGGAGCCTCTGATGACTTCCAGAGGCCTTCCCGTGGCTCCATGTGCGGTTCCGGGCGAGCATCCCGAGGCCTCATGCAACGCGCTGCGAGCCGAATTCCACATCCGCTGTAACCGTTCAAGGAAAAAGCCCCCGACCCGCCTCGCACGCCCTGCGTAGTCGGACCGGACAGAAGGACACCCTTCAAGAACATGAGACCCTCCGCTGGCCCAAACCGAAGAACATTAAGGATGCCCTCCCCCAGGATGCAACAGAACATGCAACAAACACGAAAAACATTAGGGCACCCTCCCCGGACTGTCCTCGATCTCGTACCTCGGTCCGACTCTACCGCGGCCGCCAGGGCCAAAGTGTGCCGGTGCTCCCTGGGGATGCCGATGCCGCCCCGCGTCGTCGCCGAACAACGGCTGCACGTACCGCAGCCGCCAGGCCCGGAGTAGGCAGCTGCTCCCCCAGGATGCCGCCTCGCATTCTCGTGTGAAGATCGCGCGAAGTAAAAGAGTGTGCCTGGGATCCTCCCCTCCCCGTTCTCCCCCTGCCTCTGCTCCCCTTCCTCATCCTACTCCGCATCCTCCTCCTCCTGCTGCTCCACCACGTCCTCCGTCTCCTCCCCACTACCCCTCCTCGTCGTCGTCGTCGTCGCCGTCGTCGTCGTCGTCTGCAAGGTCTCCATGTTCACCGCCCGTGGAACCGACGTCATGAGATCCCAGCGGGCGGTAGATATGAGTATACTGTCAAAACGCATAAAAAGGATGCTCGGTAAGGCTGCAAGGGCCGTGGAGGGCCATGCTAGTGTTTTTTGAATGAGATTGGCCAGCGAAACTCGCTGAGGATGGGCCGAAGGGACAAGGATGCAAGGGTAGCCTTGGGAAGTTGCTCCTCCCTATTCGACTGCAGTGTAGCCTTAGGGGGCCCGAACATATCCATATCCGCAGCCTGCCGACGTCCCCGAAGTTCGATCCCCTGGGCCGTGGCTATGGATAAATCCCTGCCTCGGACGGTATTCGATACGATCTGAGAGGGCGCGCGAGTCCCCGAAAGAGGCCCCCCCAAATGCTCCTGACCGGCGACAACTATCAAAAGCCATGTATACTGCTCGGTGTAGGTGGCGACATCCGAACCCTACCCCCAACGATTCTCCTGCATCGATGGGAAGCGGGGTTCGGATTTCGCCACGTGCTCAACGAATTCCGAACCTTCCCCCCGCCGCCCATCGACTTCCCTGAACCGTTGATCGGCGAGGGTAGGGTCGGATGTCGCCGTCGAGTGCGGTTTCATCGCCAACAGCGCGTTTCGGCCCCAGGTGGTTTCAGGAACGCTTCGGAAGGCCCCGTGACTGCCCAAAAGGAATCCAGGAACATCCCCAAAAGGTGTCCAACTGGGCCCCGAAGGGGTCCCAAAAAGAGTCTCTGGAGGCGCGGTCCCAAGAGGCCGCCAGGACGGTCGCTACAGGGCGCCAAGGCGGCCAGAGAGACCGCCGAACACGCGAACGCAGCCTGGCACGAATCCCACCAGCCCTCTAGGCGCAGGTGGTTCAACGAACTCTGGCTTCTCTCTATGCAATAATATCTCTTTCCCCTGCTCCAGGGGGAGTAAAACAAGACGGATGAGGACCATGTGGTATGAGGTTTGGAAGTAGATGTAAGATGGGTCATCTTCCAGGGGCTTGATCCTATCCCTTTCTTCCGATGCAGTAGTGAAGTGCCGAATCCTGCGGCAACCCAGGCAGATTGGACACCGGCGCCTTGAGCCAGACGCCAGCGGGACGCTCGCTACGGTCGCTATATGTATATGTATATATATATATATATATATATATATATATAATCCACATATTCAGCTATATGTATCCAATCCCTCTGCTCCTGTTGCAGAGTCGAAGGGGGAAGAAGCGAGCGGTAGCGTGCGTCGAGCTGCACCAGACTGCGGAAAAAAACACGCACCCTGCCGGCCAACGCCAAGCTAAGTCCGCAAATGCTTAACGGCGCACACAGCCGGCCATCGCCAAGCTGCGCGCGCAGAGTCTTAGCGGGACCTGGCCAAGTGCCAACGACGCGCCAGCGGGGCCCATTGTGGAGGGACCCAAAGCCAAAGGCGCATACAGCGTAAAAGAGTCGAAGATTTCAGGCAGAGGCATTATTACTGCGTGTCTCCACGCAAAACAAAAACATTCCGCCGGTTCATCAAGATCCGGGCCCGACTGTCGAGGTTGGAACCCTGTAAAGGGTGCAAATCTCCAACTCGTGCTTAAAGGATTGCGTTCCCGGCCCTTAGCTCACGCATGGTAAACATGGTCGGGTAGCAGTCCTCTAAATTGTGGGTTGCTGCGAGCGCTTCCACAGAGTAGCTTCACCGTACCTGTAGTCCATGCGACTTGCAGTAGGTCTCTATCAGGCGCGCGACGGGCGCACCGTGCGCGAGTCCGCACCTTTAATGTCATATCCTTTCATGTCATCCCCAGCGTCCCCGGTCAACCGTCGGTAGCCGGAGTCGCCATGCAGGTCGACTTCTCTGGTGGGTTCCGCGGTCGAATAGACTATCTTGGCGGGCCTCCTCTAAAGATCACGCGCAATTGCGTTAAGCAGCCGCGCTAGGATGTCAGCGGGTTCTTGCAACCGTTGCAAGGGGGTGACGCGTGCCATCGACCGGACCTGGGCCATGAGAGCATATGCGAATGCTCCACGGAGGCTAACGAACATGTCTGCGACAGGTTTCGCGGCCTTCTCCTCGGCCTCCGCACCCGTGAGGTCGGGGTGTTGGATACGATGGAATTGCTTGATGCGTTCGCCCTGCGTATACATGACGGCAATGTTGATGTAAGTATGTTTGTTAAGCTCGCATGGGCCGACAGTGTTCTTGACGCGCTGCACGAAGCGATCGATGGTTTCCTGCTTTCCAGCCATGCTAATCTCGTTCACGTGTTCGGCCGTCAGCGACGCATCCGCTGTTTCGAGCTCCTCGCCATAAGACGCAGCTCGCAGCCCGAGCCCCGCGCGACGTCGCGAAGCCTCAAGGAGAAGGCGAGCGGATCCCCCCTCGTCCCAGCGCCTAGCTACCAGCATTGCAAGCAGCGTCGACGCTCGTCGTATTTCTCGAAGCCTGGAAGAGTGCTCAATGCGCCTGCTGAGCCAGGTGGTGGCGCGAAGCATGCGATGCGTTCCCGCTCTCCAGCGGCTTCGGCAAATTCCGGGCAGGCAAGGCCCTTCAAGAATGCCATGTGTATGTCCAAGGACGCAATTATCCAGTCAAGGCTGCGCGCGCCTTCGCTGGCCAACAGGCGTTGACTTGGCCTTCTGGTCGTTCCCGAAAAGCTATCTACATCAGAAGCTTCTACGCCCATGAACCCTCGCAGGCCGAGTCTTAGCCATATTGTCCAGACCATTTCCCCTTTATCATTATCGACGAATGACCATGTACATACGCGGCGTGAAGTCATGGCGTTTGAGGCGCCCGGAAGATATGCCATCTTGTAGCATGTGTTACCAAGCCAAATCTTTAGCTCAGTATGAAGTGCTGCACCTACCTGCGCTGGTCTGGCTATGATCTCAGCCTCGGTGAGCAGGTCACCTTCTTTTACCGCCGCCGCGCGTTTAGCGGCTGCGGAGACGTATATCCGCAGTGTTGAAATATTATATATCTGGAACAAACTATACTGCTGTTCCTTCCTCGCCCTCGCCCCCAGTCGTCTGGGGCTCACGCTCGCGACGCCGACCTCGACGACGGCCGGCAATGTCATCACCGGCGCTACGCCCCCTGCGACTGTCACTGCGATCTGGCCCCGCATGGTCGCTGCTGCCCCTCGAGCTGTCGGGGGGCGGCATTGCATCCGCAGTCGCGCGGGCAGGAACTGGCAATCCTAGAATGTGCACGCAGGCGTGACTGCGCGGAAGAAGTCTTAGATGGCGCGAGCAGCTGCGAAGCGGGGGCCCAAGTCCCGCGGAGCTCCTGGGCCGCCGTGGAGCCCTCCGGGGCAGCCCCAGGGCCGTCGCGGGGCCCTCTCGGGTCGCCCCGGGGCCATGTTGCCCAGATGCTGGCGCGAAGCGCAATGGCTGGACATCCGGTTTTGCTCGACCAAAGTGAAACACCAAGCGCTTGCGCACTGCAGTCTCACCGAGCGCGCTCGGGTGGCAGCCCCTCGCGACCACGAGAACTTGGCTCGCTGGATCTTCGTCCGAGTGCGCCCAGAAGAACGTCGACTCACGAGTTCGCATTGGATCTCGCAAGGGTGAAGCCACAGGCTAACAGGTGAAAATTTGGAACAAACTTCCACTGCTTCCCACGCCTGCCGGCAGCGTCAACGCTTCAGGCATTGCGCGGCGCAGCGAGCGTCTTCCCAGTGTATTTCATCTCCCGCAGTGCTTCAGAGGGAAAGAACATGTCGTGACTGTTCAAGATGGCATAGAAACGATCTAGGAGCATGGCAACGGCGAGCCGCTGTTCGCGCGTTCCTTGCCGTCGTCAAACTCACGGGCCACATGGGCGGCGTAGCCCGACGTGTGCCAGGCATCCGCGGCTTTGCCTTTGAACTTCGCGCGCCCAGACTGAGACCCAAATCGCGCGAGGGTGGTTGGCCCAGTCAACTTCTGCAAACGCCAGCCCTGATGTTGCTGCCAGGCCTTGCGGTGATCTGCGAGGACCGCAATCTGTTGCGCCTGAGTTCCACCCGTCACGCCCATGCATCCCCACATGATCGAACCACGTATGCGACGCCCTGGTCGACGCGGCGCAGCGCGTCAAACGCGCAGAACTCAGGTCGACATCCCACGAGGCAGCGCAACAAGGGAGGCAAGTGTTTCCCTTTTCTGCCAACTCGATGTCATAGCTTTCCGCAATCCTCACCGCGTCGCCGCGGGAACGGCGTAATCTCGGAATGGAAACTCCAGTCGCCGCGCAATTGAATTGCGCG